CGGCACTTCAGATCAATTTGTACACAAGCGACAAGACTTTTATCAGGGACTGTATACTACAAGTCAAAAGTTTGGTTTTAGATTTTAAGAACTGAAATGGAGATATAGGAATTCAGGATATGGGAATTTGGTCCAAAAGGATAGACAGTTTCAGACTGTACATAATCTGAACTTCTTGTATGTAGTCTTGAACTACATAGAAACTCTGTCATCGTTTGGTTTTCAAAATCCGGAAGATTGGTGCGGGGACCGTTCGGTGTGACAAGAGCTTTGGGGGGATTGCTTGCTTTCGGGTTCAGCTTTCCACAACTGGGGTATTGGTTGTCAGGTTGAGATGACAAATAAGTTAAAATTGTATATGGTGTGTGGATTGTGTGAATATAATGCATTTAATACAAGATCTAGCAAGTGGTCAACATTAGACAAACATATTGGTCCGATTATTCATAAAGGACCGTGCAAAGAGTTTCCTGGGAGAAATAACAAACCGGGAGGGGTACGGAAGATAGGGCCAAAAAAAACAGGAGAAACTCTGGAAAAACGGGAGTGTTGACATGTATGCTTTGTGTGTACAATATTTAATAATTAAATATTGTGTTGGCAAAGTGGATAATGTGGCTTTATAAGGCCAGACACTTACGTGTCTTTATATTATTATTAATATCATTTTACCAAAATCAAGCTCAAATGGAGTTACAAGTAACCTAGAAATCTTGACGCACCCTAGCAGCAGCAAAAACTATTTTGCAGCGAAGTGTGGTCTAGCAACTCTCCGTTGGCTTTCGAAGTGGAAAAACCAACTTCTGGTCCGGCCAATCACATCGTGTATAGAGTTGGTGGGCGTGATTTCCATAGGTGATTTCCCTGCTACTTAAAAACAAACAAGATGCTGCTGGTGAACAGCGGTTTTTCAATTCGGCTTTGGCCGCGACTTTTTTGGAGTTAAGAGAACGTCACTTAAGTCATTCTTAAAAAAGGAAGATGTGTTCGGAGTTTTGACGACAGGATATGGCAAAAGTTTAATATATCAATTTGCTCCGCTGGAGGGAAAACGCATTGGACTCACTCATCCACAGCCGTTCGTTGCTCTGGTTGGTTAGCGCTATCCTATTGCGTGCAGAGGGATATTGAAAGACAACCTTTTATCTCACCCCTCGGATTGAGGTATGCCAATTGTGAGTTCCCAGACCTAACATCTTTATAGGTCTGGCTTACCAGGCTAAGTTACAAGGTTTTTGACCAGCGAATGTCAGACATGTTTTTGATCATCAGTAGAACAGCTGCAACTGAGGCAGTAAGTGCCTTGGTCCACAATGCGGGCGGCACTTCATTCAGGATCGAGGCGGGGTATAGAGTTTGAGGATCCAATGGATTTAGGAGGTTTGGTCAAACTCTTTTTTAATACTGTTCATTGGTTAAATATTTGCAAAAATATTTTATTTATAAATTTTAAATATTATAAATAAAACCCACAGACAGACGTAAAGGGTCACCAATAGTAATGATTTATAAAATAAAACTTCCAAAGGATAGCTGATGCATGACTGCACGATCTCCCTAATCCAGCAATACATGAACATCCGACAGTCTCTATCACCCCCGACTGCTGCAGAATAACTCAAGAAATAAGTTTAGGCTGGTAAGCCCTTTGACTCCTGTCTACCTCTGCTTTCAAAGATGCACATCATATATTCCTCAGGCCTGTGAGGCAAGTAGGCTACATTATACTCTGAGTTTTGGTTCATTTATGAGACCAGAGTCCAGTTTGCACACCGGCGCCTCCGTCATTATGATCTATTCTCTACAATATTTACTTCTTATTTATTAAAACCAGGCAATTGGTTGATGAAACATTGATTGAAATTAAGATACAATTAATAAAAAACGAAAATCACTTTAAAGAAAGGTTTCTTTGTGGTTTCTCTTTAAGATCTCTGTGAAACTTTTAAACTCGCTTTCAGAACGGTCATGTCCGTAATGGAGAACTGTCACGTCCATAACATTTTTTCTCTCATAAATGCGAACATGAAAAATAAAATAAAAATAATATTTTATGTTCTGTGGAGGCCAACCCTTCTTCATCCGGTTCGTAGGCTATTACTTTTGTTTTGTGCAGTGTAATTCATAGAATTACTAAAAAATATTTTCCCACCTAAAAGTTAAAGATTTATTGTGTTATGTGTATTTCGCTCATTAAATATAAAACGCATGTGTAGACTGATATTTTTCTAATGTCTGGACTTGAGTGCTAGCATTATGTAAATAAATACTTCAACCGGAAGTAGAAACCCGTTTAGTCAGTTGAACCCACTATGAATCATGGGAAATAGAACGGGCACAGAATACGGTGGATAATATAAAAAAAATGTTGTTTTAAAAAAATGTCATATGCATGCATACATTTTAAAAAAAGCATTTAAAAATAAAATAAGAAACGAACTCTAGTCAAGCGTCTCCGATTTTTCACTGATAGTGTATGTTATATCAGAACATGCTGGCAAATTTCCCTTGTTCATAGTTTCACAGAAATGAGGACAGCAGGTGCATGCATACCCATGGGCCAGTGCAGTGAATAACTCAAAGGGTAAAAATCAGCTCTTTCCACCCCATCCCAGCTTGGGTAAAGTTGAAAAGGCTCGTCTGAGCAGTTGCTCTCTTCTGCCAACAGAAACATGTTTGGCACCAAGACGTACATTTCTGAGATGATCTGGCTTTCTGTCAGCCCCATAACACTCCTGGCAGAGAGATGTAGGATAGCTCTTATGGTTTGGGGAGAAGGACAAAAGGAGGCAGGAGAGGTGGCACACAGGTGGAAGTGTGGACAAAAGTACAGCAAGCAGAATGAAAAGATGAAGAATGTGTGAATGTGATGGCAATGAATGAATGAGACATCAGTGTGCTCAGTGACAATGGCTCATTCAAAGAATAAAATGAAAGCGTATAATAGAATCTCTTGTGGCAAGATATGATATATAGATGCTGACACCCTAACAAAAATGGTTGCTGGGCGGTAACCAAAGTGGCTGCCTAAAAATTCTAGTGGCTTTTTCATTGGTTATCTGTAAGTTTGAATTTTGTCGTTCTTTGTATAAACAAGCTTTTGTACACCTGTATTTTTTTTAGTCCAGATGAAGGCCGGTGCATCGAAACACATTGGCAAAATAAAGAGCAATATCTTTTCAGCTCCGTTTATCTCACTATTTCGCAGGAGTTGCTGGTATTGTCCCAAAATACTAATTATGACAGCTTTTGTTATGTAATTAAAATCATATTCTAAAGATCTAAATCTGAAGCAGCTTCCTTAATTTGCCCATGAGATAAGGATGAAAATAATGATAGATTATATTAAATTAAATCAATAAACAAATGATGTCTCTTAGATCTCAATTCCTCCGAGCAAGATAGCCCTGCTATTAAAGGAAGAGCAAATTGAGACTTTTGCTTAAGACTCACATGTTGACAAAAGGTTGTTCTCAATATTTTAGTAAAAACTGGCACATTTTTTCAGGATTCTTAAACTTTAAAAAACAGCAGTTAGTTAAAATAATAATTCGAGTTTTTTTGTAACAATGACTTTACTGTCACTTTTATTAATTAAACTGCTGAACAAAAGTATTCATTTCTTTAATCTACTAACAACTGATCCCAAGCTTTTGAATGGCAGCATAAAATTAAATGTTTCTCATCACTGCTAGAGACCAAGAACTTAAATAAGTGTCAAGATCTTAGTCATTTTATATGATTTTCCATTTCATGGATTTCCTTTAGTAACACTGACTCTATCTTGGTTTCAATTCATAAATCCATGCTTTGTGTGTTGTCAGGTTAAATCTGTCACCAGCTGATTTCTTTCATTTATAAATATTTTCCTTTAACTTCACTCTGCATTCGAGGGTCTCATTTTAATATTCTCCCCCTGTGTACTGTTTAGGCAAAGACTCTCTAAGAAGCTGGTAAGGTGCTGCTCATTGATTTGGACCCTGCCTCCACTTGTGATGCTCCAGTTACTCGAAATGAAGAAATATCTGCCTTTTTTATTCACAGTTTGGGATCACCCAGGAGAGATACACAGGCGAAGGTGAAATGGAGGAAAATTAAATTGCACCTAATCCACTCTAGTGGGACAGCGGAGAAAACCGCTACAAATTTAGTAACTCAATTGAAACAAAACACTAGACGCAGACATGGGAATATGTGAATGGAGTGACTTATTTAGTCCCCGTTTGTTGTGCAAACAGATGTGCATTTTGGGTATCCAAGGTGAGAGAGAATGAAACTGACTGATACTCCAATTTTATTTTCAACCACAAGCTGCTTCATGCATGAAACATCAGTGGTCTTCAAGTGAGAGCATTCAATAAATGTGTGGTGCATCTCCCGGACACGGCATAGAGGTTACTGGAGGAATAAAAAAGATATATGAAGAGTTCAGATGCAAAAGCCTCTAAATGCCATTTGAAATTTTCTTCTAGAATGATCATTTTTATCAAGCTTGTATATTTAAGTTCAGTAATTTCACTTAAATTACAATTAATAGGTAATCTTCATTGCAATTTAAGTGAAATTACTGAGCTTAAATATACAAGCTTGATAAAAATTATCATTCTAGAAGAAAATTTCAAATGGCACTTAGAGGCTTTTGCATCTGAACTCTTCATATGCAACCACGGGAACAGGTAAAGCCACCACAGTCTCATTTCATTGCTTTATTTAGACCTCAGACGGCCCTGGCTGACCTTCTTGGGGTTTTAGCACCAACCCAGAGTAAACTCTTGCTCTCTGTGCTAGACAATGCCACTTCCCTTGAAGTTTGTCCAGGCGGTTTTGGGAGCTGACCCATTAATTTCAGAATTAATAACCATAAGCCAGCACTCTCTAACACCCAAAGGCTTGATAGACAGCCCTAGCAAAAAAAAAAGTTACAAAGACCATATCAAGCAGGAATCATGATCTAATAGAAGAGAGTGAGCGTTATTAAACACTGTAGGTCTTTATCTTACCTGTATTAGAGATATGTTGCTTAGATTTAGTCTGAAGAGGTAGTTTCTGCAGACAAAATGAAAGAGAGATTGCAAAAGGTTAGTTTGATATAATCTATTCACTGGAAAGATTCAATGACACATTTAATTCAATGAAAATATGGTGAGAGAAATAAAATATCGTTTATAATTGTCGTAGTTAATAATAGTTACTATACACTCTCAGAAAGGGTCCAAAAGCTGTCACAGGGACATTACCTTTTCAAAAGGTACGCTTTTGTACCTAAAGGGTGCATATTAGTACCTTAATGGTCCATATTAGCACCTAAAATATACATATTAGCACGTAAATGTCCATATTAGCACCTAAAATATACATATTAGCACCTAAAATGTACATATTAGCAAATAAATGTCCATATTAGCACCTAAAATATACACATTAGCACCTAAAATGTACATATTAGCACCTAAATGTCCATATTAGCTACTAAAATGTACATATTAGCACCTAAATGTCCATATTAGCTACTAAAATGTACATATTAGCAAATAAATGTCCATATAAAAACCAAAATGTCCATATTAGCACCTAAAATATACATATTAGCACCTAAAATGTACATATTGGCACCTAAATGTCCATATTAGCACCTAAAATATACATATCAGCACCTAAAATGTACATATTAGCACCTAAATGTCCATATTAGCACCTAAAATGTACATATTAGCAAATAAATGTCCATATAAAAACCTAAATGTCCATATTAGCACATAAAATATACATATTAGCACCTAAAATGTACATATTGGCACCTAAATGTACATATTAGCACCTAAAATGGACAAAAGTTTACCTTTTGAAAAGGTACAGTCCAAGTGACAGCTTTTGTACTTTTTTTTTCTGAGAGTGTAGAGTGAGAACTGTAACCAAATCTAAAGTGTAACCTAAGTTTTTACCTCGCTCCCACTATAAGTTCATTCCTGGTGAGGTCAAGGGTCAGTTGGGAGTAGTCCCTTACACCAGGATGGGAAAAAGTGGAGATCAAAGGACTTAGAGCTGAAAGACAAAAGAAAATCCAGGTATATTAGTGATACAATACGAAATTCCCCTCAAAGATTTCTTAAAGTGATTGCCATTTGACAAACGTTAAAAGTTCAGAAATATCAGAGCATACAAAATTAGAGAACTCATGGTTTAGCATAAAATATGGATTAAGCTAAATGGGTTACACAATGGAGGTCACTAATCCAGGAAAATGCTTGTAGTTGCTTCCCATGAGTTTCCAAGAACATGTGAGGAGGACCAGAGAGCTCCGCTCAAATCTAGCTGGGCCTCTTCAAGGATACTGATCCTAATTCAACATGACGCTTAGTCAAAACTCTGCTTACCCAAGAAATCTATGAACAGAAAAGCGCTGTTTGATACAAAGTTTCAGAAAATCAAAACAATTTGCCCCTGGCAGACTCTTAAAGCACAGTCTGGGTCTATTGAAGTGGAATTACATGAGACAGAAAGAGCATTATGTAAATATAAAAACCACTTGATCTATTGTTAACCTTAATGTGGCTTAGTAAATGGGATTTCACTGTAAAGTAACCAAAAGATTTGTTATCCTTTCATACAGAATAGGATTTCTCAGCAGTATTTTTGGATGTGACATGCCCAGCTAAAATTCAGAAATCCTTCCCTAATATTACATAATGTAGTTTTCAAACGTCGTTTGTACTCTGAGGGTTTAAATTGCATGTCAGGCTCAAGTATCACTTAACTCAGAAGTGATAAAAACACAGCTCTTACCATTCATGACTACAAAAATAACTCAAAATCCAACGTACTTCATGAGATGAAACTTCCGGAAAAAAACAACAATAAACATTTAATACATGGAAATGCATAAAGTAAACAAAAATGAAGTAAATTGTTAATGGTGTGTGTGTGAATTATATATAATTCCTCTATTAAACATACATAATTTGGGTTAGTTTACAGAACAATGTACTAAAAATGGATGCGTTCTTCCTTCGTGTTTTTCAATGATGTCAAAACGATCCCCGTTCCCACGCATCCACAAAAACAACTAAAAACGGTGTTTTTAACCAGCGTATTTTTGCAGCTTTCTCACACTATTGGTCAGTGCAGCGGTGAAACTAGTTTCCATTAACAAGACAACCATAAATACCACTTCACACAGTTCAAATCTATCACAGGGTATGGAGTCATCCAGATGCTGGGGTCAACCAAAACAATCAGTCATTCACATGGGAACAGGAATCACATGAATGTAAGAGTATGTTTGCATAGAATCCACAGGAAAAGATGGAAAATCTTCTGCTACGCCACTAAATTAAGATATCAACAAACCGAATGACTGGAACCATATGGCTACATACAGTAATTCAGGCATTATTTATGAAAAAATGATGACAGGGCAACAAACACTGTACACATCTATACTATAGGCCTACCCCATCCAGAAGCATCCATCTCACCCGTGTTAAAATGTTGTTATGAACTTTGATCACTCTAATAGAACGCGTTCAGAGAGAATCATAGAACATTTTATTGGATATCATACATCAAGAACAGCAATCTTACAGACAGTGATTAATGACTGAGAGGACCAAGACAGGGTCTATTTTATATTTATATATAACTGTAGCACAAGCTTGAAGCTTATGGAGTTTATCGATCTGTTACTGTAGGTCAGGAGTGAGACAGCTCACAATCTATAATATAATACAGGGGTTTCCAACCTTTTATGTCAGCAAACCACTGACCCAAGTTATTTCCTTGAAGGTTAGGGCTTTATTTACACCATAAGATTTGATATAATGTTAAGCAATAAATCAATAAATAATTTGAATGGTTGTAAATTCATTTGTAGGTTCTTTCAACTATGAAAGGTGAAAAAAAAAACATTATGCATAAAGAAAATAGTACTCATTTTGGCTACGTTCACAGTTTAATTTTTTGGGATTGGCAACCGTATTTACCAAGTTACGCAACTACCACTTTGACGCTTAAAGAGATCTTAAAAACTAATCTATATGAATTGAGCGGTTTAGTCCCAAAGAGGCTTGATCACTTTATATGATGAACAGATTTAATTTAGGCTTTTATTCACATAAAAAACATTGATCAGCGAGCAAAAACGTAAGCTTCTGTTAACCACAACTAATGTGTGAAATGATGATATGTGGGGGGAAAAAAGCCTAAAATCAATCTTTTCATGTAAAGCGATCGGGTCTCTTCAGGAAATTTGGACTAAACCGCTTAAATGACCTATGGCTAAGCCACGCCCCCTCCACTCACTCGGACAAACAGTCAACAGTAGGTGACATTTCACAGGAGGCAATTGGTGATTTTTGGAGACAGAAAGATTATATATCATCTTGAAGTCACCTAAAGGGCCTTAACTATGCATTAGGGGGTTATATTAATAATTTTACTGTTGAGAAGGTCAATGAAAAGCTTCAGCTCCAGGCAAAAATGCACAGGTCACAATGTATAAACGTGATAAACCACATATCATGCCACCGTTTGGTGCTACAGTATTTACATGAATCATTGAGCACAACATTGTTAACATTTGTTATCTCGGTTATTTACAGATACGTTAATGAAGCTAAGTGATATGATGTAGGCTACAACGCAGCTAGAACCTAACGTTAACGTTTTCTAATGTTAGTTTACCGTTAGCCTAAAGTTAAGTTAGAGATTTTAAAGATAAAGTTCAAATACGTTGCTGACTTAGATTAGAACAGATGTAGACATCTTTGTTTAATTTATCCACATTTAGTTGGTGTTGTGGTCAAACGCATAATTTAATCGTATAACTTAATCCAGAGCAGCAACTAATCTCGACTGAGATGTGGCTTGGGAAGGGGTAAAAAATACACACCGTCGCCCAGCCTCTCGGAACCTAGTGTCGGAGTTGCATGTACCCCCATGCACACCGTTTGACCATTTTAAAGTTAAAACGACAAGAAAAAACGAATGAAAAGTGACTAAATGCAATGCATTTCAATGGACGTGGAAGCAGAGAATGTCCGAGTGTATTGGATTAGCTGCGCACTGTGATTGGCTCATCGCGTTTGAGGGCGTGGCTTAGCCATAGGTCAATTAACATGGTGGAGCCAGCTAACCTTGGTCAATGAGCTTCATAAGAAAAACCTATTTGACCAGCATTTTCTGCCCAGCAACAAACCCAAAAAAAACACTTGCTAAGACCACCATGAAAATCTATTCCAGTTTTAGCCAGGTCCTGCGGGGCATGAATTGAGTGTGAATACTTTATAAACAAAGCGTAAAACATTGTCCTGAAAACCTCAGAGTCACCTGAGTCCAAATCACACCAGAGTTAAATGTCAAGCGCAGCATTAAAAAGCTTTGCAAAAGGAAACTAACAGACTCAGCTGTTCAAGCTGTATGTCCTCCAGGGCTCAAATACTTTATCCACAAAACCATCAAACCAAGAAAATCAACAAAATATGTGCCCACCACCACCACATCGAGCGTTGAGGTTATCTGAATGTTTGTTTTTATTTTGCTTACAGAAGTTGTGATCGTAAAGTGCCCTTTCTAATGGACTTCTAAACCTTGGTGAGTTTTATATAAACGGTGGTTTTAAATGCATGGATAGCTTCCACACATCATCAAGTCTGCCTGGCGTCCAGCAATCCATATGCAATAAAAAGGGATAAATATGAGGGCCGGGCCAGAAAAGGGTTGATGGACGATTATTGCATTTTCCTCACCAAACACGCAGTGGAAGAGATTAATGCGTTAGCCAGCAAATCCGAGGGACAAGAACAGGTTCAACAGTCTGCATCCAAGACACTCCCGAGGAAATAAATCCTAATCATTATGTTTTTTTGTTCTCAGAGATTTACAACTGACTGGTTCTTAATGCTCCACACATAGAGGAAGACAGGAGTGGTGATTTTGGCCGTGTGCTGCAGGTATTGATTGCAAGACTCCTCTTGTTATGCTACAAATCACACAAATGCGAGCTAATAACAGGCCCAGATAGAAACTGCAGACTTTATTTTTGCTTTTTTTTTGGGGAGGCACAAATTATGCTTAAAGGGATAGTTCACTTTCAAATTAAATTTTGATATGTTTTAACTTACCTCAGGGGCATCTAAGATCTAGGTAAATTTAATGACTCGTAAATGTAAGTACACATTGATGGGCTAAGACACGAAACGAGCGGTTTGTGTGAGAAAATGAACAGTATTTATATCGTTTTTACCTCTTGAAACCAGGTGGTGACCATAGACCTGCATTAAAATATCAAAATTGAAACTACTGCGAAAATAAAGACACCTACATCTTGGATGCCCTTGAGGTAAGATAAAACATCCCAAAAATGAATTTCAAAGTGAACTATGCCTTTAATCTGACAATGTGTATGGTCATGCAAACACATTGAACGGTTTCTGAACTTATCAACCCACAATGGAATGATTGTCTCGTGCAAAATCTACCAGGATTTTTTGTCCATTTCTCCAATTTTGCTGTGAGAAAATACTAGAATGCCACTCAAGGAGTTGCGATTAAACATGGGAAAACCATGATCATTTCAAATCTCATGTAAACATGGTTTTCTTTGACAATCAGGTGTTTAGAAAAAGCATACTTGGATATATATATATAAATAATATACAACATTCAAAACAGAACAATGAATATTCCAGCCCGTTCTCATCCTTTAACGTCATATAGAGCGCTAAATGACAAAACGGCGCTATCCTACGCACATGGCACCCGTTATCGTTAATATAACACGCGAACCCAAGACGTTATAAATCCTTTAGCGTGAATATGACACGTACACCCTACCCCACACCTAAACTTAGCCCTCACAGCACGTGTTATATTAACGATAACGGGTGCCTTTAGCGTAGTATAGCGCCGTTTTGTCATATAGCGCTCTATATGACGTTAAAGGATGAGAATGCGTTGAATATTCACTATGATCTTCACAAACACAACTATATATATAGAAATATAAACAATTACTAAAGAAATTAAAAAGAAAAAAAGCTGACTTT